CTCCCAATTCGATTTTGCCCATGAAAAAGGATTCCCTCCTCTTTGTCCCAATTTCCATGTGAATCCGGCCGACCAGCGAGTTCGTCCAAAGTCTCTCTCTCAGATGCCGATTGATCGAGGGGGGGCTGCAGGTGCCGCAAAACACCAACACACGTGGATGCCAAGCAAGTGAAACCAAAAAAGGATTCTGGCACGACCATGCAAAAAAGAAACCGTCCCATAGATGCATACCTGGACCCGACTTTAAGTAACCACAGAAAATGGGCCACAACCCTACAAAAAGAGGTAGATCTGTACCCTTTTTCTGAGGTACTTTCATGAGTCGACTCCAGGTAAGTACAAGTACCATAGGTCGAAACCTTGCAAAAATCAACTGCTTTCACCTTCCGTCTTTGGGATGCATCTCCACCAGAGGGAAACATCCTACTTCTTCCATCTTCTTTTCAACCTGGTTGGAGGCCATCGCTCTTAGGTGGTAGGCCATTGCTCTTAGGGAGGCCATCGCTATTAGGAGCGATCGGACGGTACGAGTTCCAGGGCTCCTGGCCTTAAAACCCGACGCATCGGAACTGTTCCAGGCATCGCGACACGATGCCCGGCGATCGGAACGCTCTTAGGTGGCTTATTCGGTTTGCTTCTCTTTGTTGTTTGCTTCGGTCCCAAGGTCCACGACAGCACCGTCGGCTTCAGAACCCACTCACATGCATCGCCGAGCCCATTTCACCCGGCTCCCGGGGTCCCAAGAACGGAGGCGTCCCAGCGAAGGGAAATCCTCGGATGGCCCGTCTTTCTAGCGTCCTTCCTTCTTGATAAAGCCTTGCAAACGACATCCCAAGACATCCCAAGACATCCCAACATCGAAATCTACCCACTTCCAGGTGCGACGGCTGGGTCTCCCAACTCATTGAAGCTGCTGCTCTCATCCGCTCGCTCCCCATGCCGCAGCACGCCCAGCACCACCGCGGGACCGCTGGACTCGGACGGTCGCGCCAGCCGGGTGAGGGTCGGACTGCGACAGGTCGGGGCACAGGTGGGCAACTCCAACTGAACCTGCAGGGTGATGCGCAGCACACGGATGGACACGACTTTCACACGGCGGCGCCAGGGCGCCAACTGCGGAAGAAGACACAGAACGGATGGTTTGTTTTCTAGAACTCCTGGGTCCGGTCGGTCAGACGGAGCGAGCAAGCAAGTGCTCGGTGGCACGAAACGCTTTGGGTTTCTTCATGTTTCTTCGTACCGTGTCGGCCGATGTGTCTGGCCCTCAAATCTTGTTTACGACCGGTTGCCTTGGTCCTCCTTCCTCTGCCTTGCCGCGCCTGGTCTCCCGCGAGTCGTGCGGAGGAGGCATTGTCCCAGCTGAGCCGCAGACCTTCCTCAATGGCACGTAAGCGCCTCCAGTAATCGATACCGTGAGACACAACAAGAAGCCAATTCAGGAACCAGAGGTGCGTGTACTTGTGCACGGGTCCGACGTGTGGTTGCAGCGATAACAAGCCGAAGACTGAACAGCTTAAGGCACACACCTCTGGTCGACAACCAGCTTGGATCAAGGTCTGTATCGCCATCATCGATTGCGATGTAGCCATCCCTCCCAGTGTCTGCTCATACTGGATGGCAGCCGGAAAGATCGGAGGGGTCCAAACGGTCTTGTGCACGAGGCTCATGTCAAGCAGTAGCAAGCAAGGGGGCCAAGTGCAGCACGCAGCGAGACCCAAATCAGCCCACCAACTGGTGGCTTTCTGCGTCATTGCTAAGAGAAGAAATGCCAATGCTACTACAGGGCCCAGCACCGTACAAATGGGTAAACGATTGCGATAAATGGAAGGAGCATATGAAGTTCCTTCATGCTGCCTCTTCAGGATCTGCCAGCAGACCCAGGCCAGCCAGTTGCCCAGGCAAGGAAGCCAGCACCAGCTCCGTGCCGAGCGCCCCGCGACCGGACTCTGCAGCGGCTCCGCCGTCTCACCGAAGAGAACGCCCGACGTGACCGCGTGCACGCGCCGGGTGAAGTCGATCGTGAAGGCGGTGATGATGAAGAAGGAAAAAGCGATGGCGTTGACTTCTGTGACTAGAACAAATGCTGAAGCCTGCAAAGCGTGAACATAGTCGCAACTGCTTAGCAGGAGAAGGACCAGTACGACTGGGTGTATATTGCAGTGACACAAGACCACCAAGCTGAATGAAAGAACATGCTCTCGACCGATCTCAATGTAGTCATCCAGTAACACAAAGCTCCACCACGTGCCAAGGGCGAAGGACAACATTCCCCCCAAACTCTCGCGGCTGCTGTTGATGGACAACCAGAGGCTTGCTGCCAAGCACACTACAGAGCCGGCGAAACACACCGAATTAGGTAGTATTAACAGTTTGTTTGCAATCTCCTGTGGTGGGTGCCAGTTTGCATACCATATATACACCCGAGCCAAGACAATCACTAAAATCCACCCACAACGAAAGCTGCGCCCTGTAGTGCGGCGAAGCCAAGGGCTATTGAGGATCACCACATCGGTAGTCTCTTTCCACCTGGCGGCCGGTCCAAAATAAGACTATACACTAAGAGACAAACAGTTAGAATAGCTATAAAGTATGTGTAGTCAGTGTGTATGTGTATATATATACATATCATATAGTGCAGCTAGAATATATATATATATATTAACATGTACTTCATGTGTAGACTCTTGAGTCATAAAACCACGCCAAACATGGATAATATGTCAAAGCTCTTCAGGCTTGAAAGGTTGAAATATCATGAAATATCAAGAGTCTACATGACCAGCACCGAACGTTCAGAGCGGGGGGTAAACGCTGGGACACCCGACACGACATACGAAAGTAATGAAATTGATTGAAGGCCAAGGTAACCCAGGTACCTGGTTCTTTTTCACACACAAATACTAAAAATTGGAGCTGGCTGATGACTCTTTCTGCGCTCTCCAAAGCAGTTTGCCATTGGCACATGTCAAAAAAAAAATAGAAGAACAGTGCTGCTGTCTCCTTGTGGTTTGGCTCGAGAGGTCTTAGTACTTCTCTACCATGTTCCAATCTTGAATGCCTACTTGCCAGCATCAGTCCTATCACTCTACCTGGCCGTACTAAGGGGTCTAATGCGGAGGTTTTCGGACCTCCGACAAACATATGGACTCCCATGGACAGCTCCCCTTTAAAGAAAAAAGGAAAAAGCTGCCTAGTAGCTTCCTTGCTCCTCCTAGTAGCGATGCCAGCAGCCCCTAGTAGCATCCTTGCTCCTAGTAGCGATGCCAGCCCCGAACATAGCTTCTTGTTTCCAACACGTCCTCCAAAAATCCCTGCCACGTCTTCGTTCGTTCGAAAACTCCGATCTGCTCTACCCACCCCAGCTCCGCAGCTTCTCCCAGCTCAGTCACCAAGCTCTCGCTTGCCACGCAGTGGTGGACAGCCAAGTGCGCAGCGGTGGCCGCTCAGTCCGACCCACATCCAGCCAGCTATCGGCCGCCAGCTCGCTTGCCATGGTCCGCCATGTGTCGACATGCTGATGCGATGAACTTGTGTTGCCATGGTGAGACCAAGAACGAAGATGGAACAACAGTACACACTTGAGGTTTTTTTTGGTACAGTAGGTGAACATCCTCCAAAGCCTGGTAGGTGAACATGCCAAAGGGCGTACAAGCAGGCATTCTTTGTAAACCAAAGTAGCCCACTGCATCTGCCTCTTGTCGCAAGTCTGCCAAATCCTGAAACTACATCTTATAGTAGTAGAAGATCCTTTTTCTACAGGCTGATTCTGTTCAGCGTGACTTTTGGTGGATGTATTCCCTGCAGCGACTCACCAAACTTGAGTCTTCAGCCCATCTTTGCTGTTCAAGGCACCACAACGTGCTAAACCGATCTTCAGTCTTGGATCCACCAAAACCGTACAAAAACCCGGCTTCAGTGGAGCTTCAGTAGGGCTTAGAGTTCTTGCAGTTCAGGACCTTGGGATGCAGAGCTTGCACCGCCTGGCTCTGTGAGCAGAAACGGTCCAACCACAGGGCAACCGAGAATCCGAGAATCCTGCGGCAACCGAGAATCCTCGTGCTGTCCTTCCCAAGCCATTCGAAGGGCCCCGCCTCTTCCGGTGTTCTTCGTTTGAGTTCTGATGTTCTCCGTTGAGGCACACAAAGCCCTTAAAAGTGATCGAAAGGAAGCAATCGCTGGGTCCGATTCCAGTGCCACCAGCGAAGAGCTTCCTGCATCCCATCGAACAAAGCACCGAGAGACCTTGGGTATATCCCATGACCGGCCCCAGTGGATGAAGGTTACTTCTTACTTCGGTTGCAGGCCTGGTGAATCTCAAAAAGAGTGGTCATCCTTGACCAACGGCTCTACTGGTTTTCGATCTAACAACCGAGACCGGGCCGCCGACCTCGCATCGCTCGATCCAAAACATGTGGATCCGACTCAGAACTCGATCTGTGCTGGTTCATCGAGTGCCCCCAAAAATCAGCCACATGCGAAGAACCCAAACACTATCGAAGGAACGGGAGTCGTAGCATTCCATCCGTTGGTTTCCTTCAACCCTGGGGGTGATACACAACGATTTAAAAGTCGACACCAAGGTTCTCATGTGTCCCATCCCATTGGAAGCTGCTCCAATGCCGAAACTCGGCACAACCCGTGCCTTTTTGAGCATGTGGCACGCTTGCTGCTTCAGCTACACCTCTCCCACCACCGCCCTATGCTTCGCCCCCCTCCAAACCCGTTCCGTTCACCGCTCTACCGGTCCGTTCACCGCTTCGCCACGGATCGGTGGATCGGTGGATCTCGGGTGCGTCGGTGCGCTTGGATCTCAGCCGAGACCACCGGACGGCGAGCCTGAGGAGTGGTGGAGTGTTGGATGATGTTGGATGTGTTCTTGACAGTATTGGATGAACTAGGGTCACATCGAAATACTGGTTCCGCGTCGTTCCTCCTCCCTCTGGAGTCCGAACCATATTGTGCATGAGGGAGGAGAACACGGGGCCACTAGGCTTCCGGACCTTGACTTCGAGGCGTTCCTTCCTGGCCAGGTGGTCTTTCTGTTGCGAAACTTGATCTGGTTGGTGGTTCAACTCACAAATACATTCGTCAGTGGAATCAAAAGGTTTCCAACCCCCACTCAGTGGAGGGGAGGACGAACTAATAGGAATGTCTCCTCTTTTGGGCCGTCCGGCCGTTCTTGGAACCACAAGAGCCAGTCCATGTCTGGCCGAAATGAAGCTGATGGAAAACCACGTCTTCCAGAATAAAGCATCCGCCAGGGATGTGAATTGGTAGGGAACCTCTGGTGGCTTCTTTTTTGGGCGTTTTGCCAACCTCCGATTTGCAGGGAACCTCAGGTCATGTTTTGCCGCTCCGCACGGCGGAACCATCGCCCCTGCCTGTGGGACATCCCGCTGCTGCTCACTGACCTGGTTCACCTGATCTCGGAAGATGAGAGACGTTCTGGGTGGCAAAAATGGGTCGAAGGAACAAAGGAGACGGTCTGGGTCGATGGGCGGTCGCATCTCAAACAACCCATTGGCCGGCTCAGCCACACCAAACAGGTCGCTCCAGGAACGCGGCGTGGCTTCCTCCAAAGTCCGGCTCAGAAAAGAACGAAGCTCCTTCCTACCAGGACCCTCCAACAGTAACAGGCTGTTTGGGTCGACCCGACCACAGGTGGGTTTTTTGGGGCACCGAAAAACCAGGAAGCAGCTGTGACGGAGGGTCCGGGTATCACCGCCGTTCACTTTCTTTCACCGTCCGTTCACATGTTGGGCGCATGGCACGAACGAACCTCCAGCAGGTCTAGCAGGCCTACTGGGTCGGTCGCGGTCGGTCGCTTGGGGTCGCGGTCGGTCGATTCATCGCCTCTGCTCACTGGACATGGCCTGAGAAACGAAGTACCACTTCTGAGGTTCCGGGAAAACCAAGTGAAGGTGAATTGCCAACAAATGTGTTTTCTTCATCCCCCGAAGTATGAAACAGTTGCATCGTCCAATGCTCCCATCATCACATCTCGTTCGTGTGGTTCGCAGGTTCGTGCGACCTCACCTGACCCACCACTTACCACCTACCCCGCCCACTGTGTCCACCTTCTGCAGTGTGGGCCATGTGTCCATCTTCACGCGACCTGGGTGTTTTTTTTTTGAGCCAGGTCACGTTCACAGGGCGATGGTACAAGCCAGTGCTGATGCCTAGTAGGCGAGCTGGCAGAGGAGACGAGACTGGTACCTGGACTTGTTCGGTATGAGCCAAATGGAAAAAGGAAACAAGTTTGCAAGGGCTGCGCAAGAAGCCCGAAGAAGACCATGTGCCTAAAAAAAGGTGTCCACCTGAAAACCGTGGTAAATAATTTGCTTCGAGCAAAGGTCCCCAACCGATGTGATTGTCTTGCATCAACCACTTGGTTAAATCAACTGGTCAACCGCTGGAGTGCAGCGTTTTCGCTGACTGTTACCTACTCCACAGGATTGGACAAAGAATCAAATCGATCGGAATAAACCAAAAAAATCAGCTTCGGATCCTTCTTGCGTTTCTTCAAGTAACACAAACCCCTGATTCACGTTCATCATTTCCTGGGGGTTCACATGGGCCAGATTTTGGAAACAAACCTGTCTCGCCCCCTTTTTTCTTGGTGTCACCCGACAATTACCTCTTTTCATTGAACAAATGTAAAAATGAGAAATCACTCAGCTCCACTGGTCCGCGTCTTTTCTTTCAAATAGAGTATTTCATCCCAGGTAAACACTGCGTATTTCATACATTTTTTCACATCAGACATCCCGTGAAGGATCTCATCACTTCAGCCCGAAATCGGGCCCGAAATCGCTGGCGGTTCTTGCGAGCACAAAAGACACCTGCCTCCCCAGCGAAAAAACACCTCCAAAAGTACCAAACACCAAAAACACACCCAACACCTCATCCAACCGAAAACGTTTGTCCTTTTTGTTTGCGCCTGAGGGTGCGGAAGAGAAGGGGATCGCGGTGGAGTTGCTCATCTGTGCCTACGTGCGAGCCCGACCGGGGCATCGAGACCGACCAGGGCGCGCCCCTGGCTCGGGGAGAGGAGACGAAGCGCCAGGAGTCCCTCTGCGGGCCGAAATAGGATGGAACAAGCACGAAAAACTCTTCTTGGAGGCGCAGAAAAAGAGGGGAAATCTGATGAATGGCACACCAGTCCGAAACAAGTACCGAATTTGGGGAAATGGATTATATACATCCTCAGTACCAAAACTAAGTTAGGAGGTGGATCCATGCTTGGCCACCCTGCGAGCGAATCGTCACAGCACTCAGGAAGTACGGCGGTGGATCCCAAAGAAGGGGCCGAACTTCGGACGTCTCGTGGAGGTTGGGCTTCTTACATGTTCACGTGCTTCTTTTGGAGGGGAGCTGTTCACTGTTGCCAGCCGGTTCTCTGGACATTGGACGTTTGGATGGGTATCTGATCCTCAAATGAACGACGACCAAAGAACAGATCCCTCACACGACAGCCGGAAAGTAGAGCTTGAAGTTACACGGGGCCCCGGCAAGATCGGACATTCTGCCCACAAACAAAAATCGTTTGAAGTTGTAGGGGGCCCGCCTAAAAAGCCCCTTGTGCACGTGGGCGGACTGATCAACAAGGCTCCACCGTTGGACGGGGGCAGAAGAAGGACTGGTGGTCACAGTGTTTCTGAAGACGGGACCATCTTGCACATGTATTGAAGTAGACTCTTGATGAATACAACCGCCCATCTTTTGGATTTTGTTTAATCTCTTCATGGGAGGTTTTTATTCTATCAAGAGTTTACATCACTCTTGACAGTGAAGGATCTCCCCACCTTCCAAATGTGAATGGATCCAAGACACTCACTCCTCGGTCTAAAAGTATGCAGCTGTTCCTCACTCCCTGCAGCTTCGGGATCCATCAACACTTCAGGGCGGTGCTTCCCCCCCAACAACCGGCCAAGAAGTCGCCTCTTGCTTGCTTGCCACCACATATCTCCACTCGTCCTCGTCGATACTGAAGTCCTTGAACCTCGGAGGGGGTTACTTTGCGTGCAAAACTCATGGAAAACGGACAGGAGATTCTAGATTCTCAAGATATTCTCATGTTGAGCCAGAAAAAAAGAGGCGGAGCTTGTTCGAAGTTGACTCCTTCCTCTTGAGTGATGGGGCTAAGCCTGGCAAAGAAAGGATGAACACATGATTGCTGGTTAAAGAAGGAACACTTCCCGACAGCATATGGCTTCTAAATCAGGATGGCCATGAAAGTCTCCAAAAAGACCAATACCAGCAGTTGCACATGAGGTAGCTTCTGAGGCCTCTATTCTAAGTCAGTGGGAACCTCTGGGAACCCGCTGCAGGAACCATCACTCACCCGAACCAAGCAGACCTCAACTTGTGGCTCGAGTGATTTCGTCTCCGGGGTGTCCGCCCCCGCGGCTCGGTCAAGTTGGCGGTCGCTCCCAAGCCCCCCACGTGGCCACCACTTCCTCCTGGCCAAGATGGCCAAGACGTCGTGCCGAAACAGACAGCCATGAATTTCCGAATCATGTCAATCATCCTGAAATCCTGGATTCAACAATAGATTCCTCAGTCACTGCCGAAAAAGATTGTCAAAATGCATCAAAATTCATCCAAAACCAAAATTCAAATTTGACTGGATTTGGGCGCATATCCCACCAGAGCGCAGCGGATGATCAACCACTGCGATTGCTGCTTGCAACCTAGGTTGCAGGCCTGAAAAACATCATAATCCTTTTGACCACGGCTTCCTACTGGGACCCACCAAGATGTCACCCAGCAGCCTGGCGCCACTGACTCTAGCTTCCGGCCGGGTCCGGCCCCGTTGGGTCCCACCCCGTTGGGTCCCATATGTCTTGAAGCGACACGACACCAAGCGTCCACACGCGGTTGGGTCCCCGTGGAGGCCGGAAAGTGTCCTCGTCCCAGGGATCAGCATTGGTGAAGTGTTGGTAGAGGCTCTGCGCCTGGGAGGATGTGCCAAGAAGCGGGAGATCTGGAGGTGTGCCGATCCGGCTCCGGAGTTCTTGGGCAGATGCGACTGAGATCGAACGAGGGTTTTCGGAGGAGGTGTTTGGTTCACCCAGGGCTTTTGCAGATTCAAACTGTTTCAGTTTGCTCTTCTGGTTGGTGTTTTATCATGTTTGTCCCATTTACAAGCATCATGGGTCAGCTCGCAGATGTGGGTCTAAAACCCATCCAATCCAAGGCCTTTGAAGAGCTGCATTCGTTCTAGGATGCAGCTCCACTCTGACTCACCAACATTCAATCCAAAGACCCCACAGGTGGTATTCCCAACAGGTGGTATTCCCTCCACCTCCACGTAACCAGGATGATCTCAGGGAGTGTATATATATATATATATTTCGTTCCAAAAATGCTTCGGACTTGATGGGACTCCAAAAGCCCCTCCTTGGCGGCAGGGATCACCCCTTGAGGGATCTCGTTCACCGGTTGACAAGTTCTTGCTTCAGAGGTGATCCGCGGTCCGGGGAGGGCTCACAAGTAGATGTAGGCTCTTAAGACTTGATGAAGTAAAACCATGTAAAACCCTAAACCCATTTGGATGAATATAACCTCTTCATACCAGTTCCATGTCGGCATGCTGCCGAACGACTGGAGGAAGGAGAATAGCGGGTGCACCAGATCAAACATCACATCCGCCCCTGGATGGCGACATGGAAGCTCCATTCTGACATGGAACACCTGGATATGGGAGGGGGGGTTTGATTCATCCACATTCTACATAAATCTGGGCGTCCCATGGCTCCAAAGCTCTCGCCACGGCCACGGCCAGGGAAGCTCGCCGTCGCTCACCTCCACCCCAGCGGTGGAAGAGCCGCCTCCCGCTCGTTCATCATCTCGAGCTTCACACAGACACGCACAAAGTCCTTCTGTGAGATCCTCTGGCAAAGCGTCCAGCTTCGGTGCAGAAGCGACTTCAGAATTTGCAGAGCTGGGAGAAGACAAACACAACAATTGATGGCCATTGGCTTCAAAACGGACGACTTGCTTGCTGGGTCTTCTGTGTGTGTGTCTTCTGTGTGCGACTCTCGGGGGTCCTTCCAGTCTCGGGGTCCGCACCAAATTCGAACAGCCCAGACCTCGGGGTCCGCGAGGCGGCGGACCGACGGGAGCAGCGGCACAGTCTGGATGGTAACTACTCAGCTACTCTTCTTTGAGATGTCTGATATGTCTCATGACACAGAGCATGCCACAGCATGGTGATATCAGCTTCCCGGTTCAGTACTGTTAGGTTCAGCACTGTTGGGCCCCAGCTAGTCGGTTCTGAAACCATCTATGAAGCTTCTTGAAACATCAGCACATGTTGTTGCTCTCTGTTCACCTCTATCACAAGAAGAGGTGATAAGCACCTGTGTTCGAAAAACGTGACACTGGTTCTTCTTCAATCAAGCACGTGCTCCTCGGGATGCACTATACAAGCGCTTCATCCAGCGAAATCGACCATCCAAGGAGGGTCGAAGTCGCTCACCCCTTCCACCCCTTCCACCCCTTCGTCCATGTGGGTGCGTCCACGGCGGTCCGTGACAAGGGGCGCCATGGATCCGAACATCGACACCACCTTCAGTCGGAACCTGCGCTGGCCGCTGGCCGAGGCCGCCGCGAGGCCGCGATGCCCCTGCCCGTTACTACTAGCTTCTTGTTACGACTCGCTCGCGATGCCCGGAGTGACACTAGCATCATGCGGCCAACACGCGTGGACTGCACAAAGGAACAAACACGCCCGTTTTCCACAAGTTATATTCATATAAGTCGACCGTTTGCTTCGACTTGTTGAAGATTTATTACTTGAAACGGCTCGAAACGGCTGTTTCAATGCAACACGTTCACCAACCTCTGAGAAAGAACCATGATATGACGGTTCTGCAAAGCATTCAATGGAAGTTGCAAGGTCTCTTTCCGATCCCTCCCTCCTCTGAATGCATTTTTGACTCCTGCAGGTGAGAACTGTGGGTTCCTGGTGTGTTGCATTTCGGGTGGAGCGTCTCTTCTGCCAAAGATGGGGATTGGAACGAAAGCTTGGTGTTGGCGTGGGTGTAACCAGATTCGTAAGAGAAGGATCCGAGGAATCAGATCCTGTCACAACCGAGTTTGGTCTGAAATGGACCATCGAATCATGCCACAACTCCCGCGTGGCCAAAATGCTTTGATGAGAATACACCCAAAAGGGCTCCTGGCCTACCTCCGTTTCGAAGATGTTTGGGGTGGGATTGGAGGGTCCAACCATCTTCTGAGAATATGGTGAAGTCACCCTAGGAGCATACATTCTGCCACCCAACATCTCTTCCAACTGCTGGCCTCTGATAGTTCTGGAAATCGTCCAAATCACTGCTGTCTCCATGCGAGGTCTGGCGGCAACGGGTGGCGTTTCGCTGAATTGGAGGATCCACAGACCCAGGTGCGATCCATCGGCCTGCTCCGATGCGGGGGATCTCCGGCCCCCGGGAACGGTCAAACAAACACACGCTGCCAAGCTCCAGAGCTGCGATAACAGGACAGGCAGACTTTAGTGCCTGTGAACGCTGAAAGTGGTGCAGACATCCCCCTCGGGTGGCAAACCACCACTACCACCACCACAAAAAAGAACCTCCTCCAATTGCCCCTCCAAACTCCTTTCCATGCTTTGTCCACCACACGACCTACCAGCCGTCACCTACCACTACGCGTTCCGCGGAAGCCACGCCAGCGCCGCCGCCTGTCGGCTTGAGGGAGTGCGCCGTTGTCGACCCTCGGAGGAGGAGACGCTCCGCACCACCGCAGGAGACTCCTGCCGCACAACGCGAGCGCGGCGGCGCACGGGGCGGCGGATCGGACCCGGTTGCCGAGACTCGGTGTGTGTTTCCCCACTTTCGGGGCGGGCAGGTGCGGGCAGTGGTGGGTGGGGTGGTTGATGCTTGTCATTTTTGTTTGTGTGTGTGGGTCGTCTTTTAGGTTTTTTTTGGTGGCACTCATTTTGTTTTGGAGGGTCGGTCTCGTGCTCCTGTAGGAGTGGGATTTTCAAAAAAGGTACCAGAAAGAAATTGACATGAACTGAAGTTGAAAAGGAGAAGCTTGTGGGAAGTCCAAAATCCTTCCGAAACAGCTCAAGGAGTCCGCCGGCCGCTGAAACGTCTTCGAACCAATTCTGCTGGTCGACCCCTGAACATCCAACCCCTTTTGGATCCAAACATGTCGAGAACAAAGATGGAAGAGCTCCCGATGAACTTTTGATTCACTGGAGTGTTGCTCGTCAAGTCCGAGCTTTTCCAGCTGCTGTTCAATTGAGATGTGGTGTTTTTTGTGTCGTCCGCTTTTGGTTGGGATGCGCAGAGATCCGGCTGCCAACAAAAAAAGAAGCAGCGAAAACCCACCGTGATGGTTGGAAGAATGCATGTGTTTCTATGACATCGGAGAAAGCTTTAAAGCCAGGACAAATGATGTCGTCAATACCTCTCTTACTGGTGAGGTGCCGTGGAAAGACGAGACCAATGGGTTCTTCCCTTGGTCGCTGAGCGCGCCATCAACGCACTGATGGGTTCTTCGCTGGTATCTCTTTCGGGAAGAGCCGAATGTGTTTTTGTTGCCACGAACGTCCCGTTTCAGAACCTAGTGAAGGGGGTCTGAATACTTTTGGGGGCGAATCTGTGTGGCTCGATGTCACTAAAAACGATGTCTAAGTTGAGATAGCCCCACGTAGTATCAAGGAGTCTCTTGAAAAAGCAAAAAGCCAAGCAAACTAAGACCCCTAACATTCCTGACATGCTTTCAACCAGTTGCCCATGTTCTAACCCCAGAACTGTGCTTCCCAATTTGCCCCATGAACAAACCAGAATCGAACTGCCGCCGATCGAACGTTCTCACCATGACCGGGCGGGGGGTCCACTTCCTTTTTAACAACCGTCCGATCTCCGGCTGAGAAACCGATGCAAAACTGTGTCTTGGTTGATTGAGGCCTCGAGCAGGTACCACTGCTGAGTGTCACTTCAGTCACTCCTGCTCCATCGCGGCCAATCAAAGGGGTGGCATTTGGTTCAGTTGATCTTCTTGCACCAATGCAAGTGGACTGAGAAGCTTGGCATGCCTTTCCAGTGCAAAATTTGTCACACATCATCATTCATCTAAAAGAATGCCTGGATCTTTCGCATTTGCCATGTTGATATGTTGTCACAGGAAAGCGTTGGGCTTTGAAGATTTGGGATTTAAAAAAACAGCGAGTCCGCTTGAGCCTCCAACATCTTACTCAGTTCACTCCAAGCGAGCAGAAAAAAAACACCCATTCAACGACATCAAGCACATGCCTGCAGTTCCCCTTCAAGAAAGCGGGCCCAAAAACAGCGATCGTCTCGCGATCGTCTCGTGTTGCATGTGCCACAGGCAGATCGTCTCGACTAAATCCAAGTCGTCCGGAGTCTTCGATTCCGAGACAGGTGAGAATTTCAAGACACCCTCTGAGGTTTAGCCCATTCAAAACGTCCTTTGGCTATGATGGCACACCATGAAACAGTGCAAAAACATGACACGTCGACCACTCTGCGAGTGGCGAGCGGGTCTACCGGTCTGAACGCAAGGGCGTCGACCGGTCTGAAAAGGGTTTTGTCGACCTGAAAAGACTCTTCTTCCGCGACATCCACACAGTTTCGAAGCAATAGATCATTGGACCTCGCGTAACAGTTGCTTACTCTCCTGGTGCGAAGTCAACTTCCCCAGTTTTTCTCGTCTGGCTTCCCGGTGGAAGCAAGAAGCATTGCTGCTAGCCCCATTTCCCCTCGCAAGAACCAGGTCAATTGTCTTTAAAACCCGGTCGACAATCTTCGCATCACGGTCTTTCGGCCACCAAAAAAAAGGTTGGTCTCGACTTGCGGCGACAAGCTGGACTTGTCTGGTCAAAGGACCCCGAGCTTCGCCCCAGCTTCGGTTTGGCTCGAGCTGCGTCGTGCCAAGCTGCGTCAAGGACCCAAGTGCCAGCAAAGGCAGCGAATTTCAATCTTGGTCACGGAGTTCGGAATGACAAAGGCTGGTCACCAAGCCACATCTTGATCTGGGCCAACAGCGCATGCCAGGTTGGAAACCAAATGGTTTGCCCGTTTCAGCTCTTGTATCGTTGCTTCCGTGGTAGACATCCCCCAAACCTTGCCTCCCTCGCTTGTTTGATGTTATTTTGTTGTTGTCATCCTTGTCAGACTTAACCTCAGTGTTTTCGTATGTCTTGCTCTATCGGTGTGCTTCCTTCTTAGCCTTACGTTTCACTTCCTTTGCTTCCTTCTTTGTCAAACAAGCATAACAAACGGCGTGAGGTAACATGATCTACAGCTAAAAAGAGTTCTCCTTTTGCTTGACTTATTGTCTTTATTCTTTCTTCTTGCCTGACGAGTCGCTGGAAGTTCTCAAGCTGCAGGAGCTGCTGTCTTCATCAAGTGCCTGCCTTGAACCACCTGTCAATCACTTCCATGAGTTCTTCCTCCTCGCAATCCTCTACGAGCGTCAAGTACCCTGAGGTGTGCAAAAAAGAGGCTCCACCTCCAATAAACATGACGCAACAACTTTCCAACAAACATATCAAAAACATAGAATGTTCTTGATTGTTCAACAAAACAGCCAATTTACACATGATGTGCGACAGGTCGCATTCGGTATTGGGCGAGTTCTTGCGCCAGGCAGGTCGACCGGTGTCTCTCCACGACTGGTAGAATCTCGCACGAAGACCAAGCTTCAAAGAGGACTGAATTTTAGCATTTTTAGCCCTTTGCCTTGGCTGTTGTGTACATGTATACTGTACAAGTCATCGCATACAAGGTACTGCCCTTCGGTTACGTCCATGCTCCAAGTTACGTTCGCTCGGATTGGCTCGGATTGAGGTTCATCGGCATCTCCGAACATCTGTCCCTCACAGTCCCTCACAGCTGCTGTTTTCCCAGTTCCAATGGATTGGTTGAAGTACTTGGCACAGCAGAATGCGACCCACCACATCGTGCATTGCAGCCACCTACGTTCGCGTTCGCGGCATCCTGGGAGCGTGACCCGGATCAAAAAACACCACCCTGTGCAGGGTCTACACACCGGTGATGCTTGCAATTCCACGTTCAAATCCCTTTTTGCCACACATCTCCACACGGTCCATCCCAAGTCGGAAGAGCTATATACATTGGCAAACATGAAACACAAGTCCATCGGATTCCCGGTGTGGCAGCGTGGCTAGCACAGCTTGAAGACACCCGGTGTAGCAGCTTGGCACGGACAAAGCTCTGAGGCTTTTTGTACCAACTTTTCGCCTCGGAGCTTTCTACCCCCAATTTACCCTGGTAAGTTCAGGCACTTGGATCACTTCTCGTTCTTCCACAGTGGCTAGCACCAAGCACTGCAAACACTGTGAGGCTTCATCACTACTGGTTCCACTGCATGTCTTGCAGCACTCCTCTAGGGACCTGTTCTCGCTGCTTTGTTTGGCAGCTCCCACTGGAACATTTGGAACGCCTTGCCTTCATCAGCTTGGGTCAAAAGGCAGATGGTGAGGAAATCACACACATCAAAGGATGTGGACGGGGATGGGGTTCCGTTGGCAAGGTGGGACAAGATCTTGTACTTGAAGCCTTCAACTACGAAACCTATTGAACCATATCATATCGTTGAACCACGGCCTTTGCAAATCCCTGAACTCGTGGTGTTGTTGAAGGATTCCCCCATCCGTCCTAAGCATTGTGACTACTTCGAATCACAAAGGGAACTCTCAGGAGCACGAATTGTACTGCACGATCGGGACAAAAATCGATCAAAGTCCCGGTGGTAGCACGAGGTCTTGTGGTCTGCTTCAGGAAAAAGCAAAGAATTGAGACTGAGGATTGAGCTTCGTCATCAAAGTTTCTGGATCTACACCCCGCCCCCATCTACCCTCGTTAGGCACTTGGGTCGCTTCTCAGTCTTCCACATTGGCTCGCGCTATCGAATGCAACCGCTTGCACTGCAGATACCGTGAAGCTTCATTCTTCATCCCTCCCGGTTCCGCTGCACGTCTGGCAGCGCTTCCGCAGCAATGTGGCGGCAATTTTAAATTTTGTCATGTACTGGAACGTAGTGGAACAATTGCAAACGCCTGGCCCCCGCCTGGCAGCAAAATGGTTTGACGATAACCTTGTGAAATTGCTCAGAACTCTACTCCAAATCCTGAGTTGTTGACCTTTTGACAGGTCTTTCTGGCTAATGTCAAAGCTCTAAGGGAAAATGATAAAAGTTGCTTTTCGAGGCCCTGATTTCATGGTTGTAATCATGAGTGTTTTGAATCCCTGCCTACACAGTTCTACTCTTGGACAGCAATGGAAAAGCAGCACATGCTCATCGTCAAGTGGGATGTTGTGGCCATGACCGACAGCACAAAGCCAATAGCCAATGGGTGCGGAAAAAACACGTGCCAACAGTAGGCCAAGTTTGGACGAACCCAAGGCATCCAGTAGCTAGGACGTGGTCCTGATGCGGCAAAAAAGAATTGCATCCATGCTGATGCATGTTGACAGGGATGTCTGATACCTCTAAACCTGCACTCAAATTCACCCCAGCCAGCATCCACTCTCGGTTTTTCCGTATTTCTCAAGGATTCTAGGACGGTAGAGTTCACCAAGGCAGCCAGGGTACGGCCGCACCACATCACCAGGGCACGGCGCCAGTTCACCATGTGTGGAGCTTCGGGCGGCCTTCTTGGCACGAGCTGTCATGAGCAACCTGGGATGGTAAATCCACAATGAAACAGCAGACTACCAGGACACCCTAAGGGGTGACTATTGATAGCCCCTTAGAGGTTAAGGGGTGTCCATTACCCACCCCGACAGTGGGTCCTAGTAGGTGTTTAAAAGCGTGCAGTTTCGACTTTCCATCACAAAGCTTTCATCTTCGCCAGACTAGCCACTGTGTGCACGTCTGTTCAATGACATCTCCAATCCACGTGATCATGACATCGGTCACATGCATATCAACATGCTTGAAGCCAACCGTATCCTGCAAGCCACAGCTGCCACTGCTCAACAATAATAGTGGACGCCTTAAAGAAAAATCACACTTCTTTTTGTATTAATACTTGTGGCAAAGACTATCCACAATTCCAAGCCAACGGGAGAAGTAAAGCTTTTCAATCCAAGCAGGACAACCGGCAGAAAAGCCAGAATAGTTCATCCATATCCACAGATGTACCACTGAGATCTGAGGATACAACCAACAGATATGCCATTGAATACAACCGTTCGGCGTTTTGGGACAGAAGCAGGAAAGCTGGATAGAAAAACAAGTTGAAGAGTAAAATGCCTGGATCCAGTACTTGAACAAAACAACCTATATGTGGCCCCAGGTGGCTCTGGGTCATAAACCACCTGACTTGCACGAATGAAACCACCTTGATGCCTTCAATCCCCTGACTCGGTTCTCTCCTGGATCAAAGACTTCCTGAGCTTCGTGCGGAGGTCTTAAACAATCTGGAAGGACCAAGAAACATCTGAAAACAAATCAGAAAACAAACATGTTTATACTATATGTACAAAAAAATAGATTGGCAGAGTATTGTGTATGTGTTATTGTGTCTCTATGAGAATATAACTCCAAAAGAATGCCTCAATGTTTGCCAGTTTCACCTTGATCTCATCCTCCAACTTCCACGCTTTGGCTTGTTCAGAATCCACCTGGCAAAGAGATTCGATGATGTCTTCGATGCCTGCAGGAACATATGCGATCTGATGACGCAAACGATCTGCCACGTTCTTGGGCAACACGAACTGCACCTGAAGGAGATCAACATTTGGTTGCAAGTGGCCGAGTCTGATCACAGAGTTGAGATGCCCATGAGACACCATCTGCAAATGGTGGGCACATGACACATGCATTTAAAGCAAAAATAGATAGGAGTTTGTTTACCCTATACCATTCATGTACTGTATTATATTGTTGTCATGTGTAATCATACCTTTCCTGATACTGTACTTGATTAGCAAAATGGGAGGTGGCTACATGTTTCGAGTACATGTAATTATACTATTTCCACTGCATGTTTCCTCAAGCCACTGCGTCAGGATCAACACGAGCACCCCTGCTTCGCACCTGAACCCCAATGGTGGACGCCACATACTGCTCGTACACCGTCCACACACGACTGAGATAGACAGGTTGATCCCATGTATCCAAAATGGCAACCATGCGGCCTATCCGCTTCAGGTGTCCCTCGAAGACATCTTCCAAATTATCACTGCCGTTTGCACACTCTTCCACAATGAGCCTGGAGACGGAATAAACACAGTCACGTCCATTGTAAGTCATGTTATTGAGAATTTGATTTATATAATATGAATGCATGGCGCCTCTGCTTACATACACTAATTACCTGCAATCCTTGCGTTTTGTGTGATGTTCATATTCACTGTCTTGTTGCATGGTTTTCTCTTTTCTGTTTGAGAGGAGAATCTCCATGGAAAAACTTCCTAAGCGCCTGTACTGGTTGTTGACAAAGAAGCACATGAAAAAAGAGACGCCAGTGCCAGTGGGGTCTGTGCCAGTGCCACGGCTGTGCTGAAGCATCTCCAATGCACTGCGAACCTGCGGCAAATTTTATCCAAATCATGGGAATCATGGGAGATCTTTGGGAGTGCCACTGCTGTGAACCTGCGAACCTGAAGCTGATCTTTGGAAAATCTTGGGAATCATGGAACCATGAATGAAGTTTCCAGCAAGAAGAAATTACAATAGAGGTTTGAGCGGGCCGAGGTAAAACAAACCACAACAAAAAAAAGACCTGGAAAAATCCTCAGCCTCTTAAATCCCCACTTCTGTCTCATTTTACCAGCAGAGGTGAAATTGGAACATGCCCAAAGCAAGCGAAACTGGAAACCGCAACGCTCAAAAGATCTTAAAAGGTAAAGGCAATGCCCTGAATTGCACGGTAAATGCCTGTCGTAGGCTGTATTTCCAGGTCCACGACATGAAATGAGACTGTTCTCGGCGTTCATTGCGTGGAATCCAGTCAACCAAAGCACAACCGGCTCGGCCATCTCGAGGACAAATGACGTCTCGGCCGATGGGATCGTCAGACAGCCAAAAGGCCGTCTTCATGTCCTGGGCGCGGGCGTCCTGCGTGATTTGTTTTTTGGTTTTGCGACATCACGCGACATTCTCGAGACATAAATCCCACAATCCCCAAAGGTGGGATTGGATTCGGATTGAAAATTGGGGTTTGATCTATTGGAAGCAAGGACCCCAGAACACAACTCCATGAGAATCTGAACACCGCAAAAAAAAAGGATCAACAGGTTGCTCAGTCAGAGTTTGGCAGGGGCAATTTGTTGTCCGTGGATTTTGAACCTTCAAAGCCAGGCATCGATGAAGGTCGGGTCATCCTTGCCAGTGCGGTGCATGGCCAGTTCGGCAAATTCGGCTGAAAGGAGATACCGGATGCTCACCTGCACGCCAAACACAGTTGACACTTGGAAACAGCATGTATTTGTGTAAAAAACAAGGAAAACCGATAGAAAAAGGCACCGAACGTTCTCTGTCTGTGTAGAATGATTGCTAGAGTGGAGATCTGCGTCTTTAAGATCCGCTGGTTGCTACCATGGAACACCAGCTCTCTGACTCTGCTGCGCCCGCATAGCAGAAATGTGGTGTTCAATCTTTGCTTGTTCAAGCCCCAGACGACACAACTCTCCAGAGTATGTAGCGATTGTGTTGGACTGCTCATCCTGAGATCGTCACTTGTCGAGGACTTGTTTGAGGCCATGTAACCAGTAGATGATAGACTTTTGCAGGCAAGGGAAACGAAGTCCAACAACGGGTTTTGGGGCGTTCGAAATTCCGGCAACTAGTTACTAGTTCATTCAAACTTCACCCCCGGGTTGAAAGCCTCAATATGATACCGGCTCAGACTCCAAATAGCGCCCAATTTTAACAACAGAAGCACCTAAGACAAAAAGATAAGGTAATTCAACCACAAAAAATCCATGAGAGCTTCCAGTGACCAGTCACGTGGGTCCAACAACAGCTCTCCGCGTGACTCCACAGATCTCATCATCTGTTCTTCGTCACTCGGACAACAAAGATGGAGACGAGGCGGCAGCGGCAGACAACACGCCGATCACGCAGGCAGACAAGTGGGGGGGAGACAAGTGGCGAGACATGGAAGGAGACAACTAAAACAAATATCAGCA